CCATAGAAGGAATTTTTTTTTTTAAATAAAAGAAAATTAGAATTAAAAGGTATCATGGGGGTACCACCCATTCACAAAAGGATGTTACATATCAATTAACATATCAACAACTGCTCCAATATCTTCTAAGGATAGTAAATTGTGACTTCCTCCCACAAAAGGAAATTGAGTATTTAGGACATTTGACTTCCTTCCATCGGTTAGAACAGAACCGTAGAAGATAGATTCAATAATCAAATGTTCACAACCAAAGAAAATTAAGGCGTTGAGAGGGTTTCACAGACTTAGGGGATATTATTACTACAAGTTCATTCCACATTATGGCATAATAAGGAAACTCTCACTAGTTTGCTCGAAAAGAATGCATTTAGTGGAACCAGGCAGCGGCTAAGACATTTCAAACTCTTAAGGATGCCATGGTAACAAGTCCAATTTTGCAGCTTCATGATTTTTCTAAGCAGTTTATGATTAAAACAGATGCAAGTGGAATTAGTATTGATGCGGTACTGATGCAGGAAGATAAGCTGATTGCTTTTATTAGCAAGGCGCTGAGCATTTGCAACCAGGCTAAGTCAGTTTATTATAATGAGCTAATGGTAGTATTAACATTAATTCATATATAATGTCTCTCTCTCCCTAAAACTTTCTCTCTCTAAAATTCTCTCGAGCATCTTCCGCTTAGGTCGGCAAGACGTCCATCCACTAGCGGATTCTCTCTAACATTTCCGTCATGTGAAATCGAGCTGGGAGAATTTAACAAGATATTCAAGAATGAGTAGATTTGGAAGAAGGTTTCTTGCTATAGAGAACAAATCCTTTGATTTGGTATGTGAAGGGCGAAGGGCAAACGGCTTGCAGATAATTAAGAATGGATGAGAGTTTCAACGATCGATTTCTTTAGATAACGAGGAGTATGAGCTGTTTCTTGATGCACTTGATGAGTTCTGGTGGAGAAGGAAGCCGAGAACATGGACAAAACATCTAGTGTAGAGAAACTATGAGCTTTGGTTTTCGTTTGGGAAGAATAGAAAAGGAGAATATTTGGTGGTAACAGTGCATTGGGGTAGTCAGACGAAGAGGATATTCTTTCCTAGCGGGCTTCAGCGGAATGGTTGATGGAAATTACTGGTGGCTAGTTTCGAGCTTGCAAATAGGCTAGTGAAAAACCCTAAATCTGCGGGAGGGAGTAGTGAGTTTAACTTGAATAGACACTTGGAGAAAGTAGAAGAAACCGTGGTTGATTTCCTTTCCTTGTCCCCATTGTAATGGTCCGATTAATGCTTCAATGGTGGGAGGAATTCCTCGATCATATGCGGCGGCACTAGAAGGCCATGAAAGGAACGCAAAGCGAGTAGGGTTGAGGCAAACCGGAGGCAAAACGAATTGGGTTGGTCCGATAAACCTGAACTAGTGGGGTACCCGATTTCCAAATAGAGGCAAAAATGCAAATGTTACCTGTCATTTTGGTCCACAAGGGGTTTTGTCTGTGAGGGATACGGACTAAACGCAAAACAAAAGAAATGGCCGGGCAAGCAAAATCGATATATTTGGAAAAAAAAAGAGAAATGGGTTGCTAGTCTAGAAACAAAAGAGGGCCTCCAAACTCTGGATTGGGTTTCAGCTCAAATCCGACCTGGGGCGAATGCTTGAGTACAGAAGTTGTGGTTTTGGCCGATGCTAAAGTAAATGGAAAAAGAGAGGTAAAAAGAAAAGAGGAAAAATTAGGGTTCACGATTTCAAAAATGGAAGAGCCAGAGATGGAGGGTCAAGATGTAGAAGAGTCAAAGAGACAAAGCGAAGAGGAGGCTGAGGAGCTGGACTCAGTTTACTCTATGATGGAGGACTTTGAGAATGCAAGTAAAAAGTAGATAGAAGTTGAGAGTAAAGATGAAAGAACGTCAAATCTTGCGATGGTCGGTAAAAGAGGATGCTCAGGCATTAACCACCAATTATAATCGTGAAATTGAAGAAATCATTCAGTTGAGTCTGGAGAGAATAAAATTCACAGC